ATGAACCTGGTCTTGTGCTTTCCATTGCCACGTCATACCTGTGAACATTTTTATACACATCGGACCACCTAACTTTCAGCCTCCCATCGTGCGTTTGCCTTCTTTGTGAATCCAGTCAGTTACCCTTAATGACCAGCGGTTATCCTGCCTACGTGCTACGTGCCCGGCCCATGTCCCTTTCTTCTTCTTGATCTCAACTACGACATCCTTAAACCCTGTTTGTTCGAAAAAATTGGAATGAACATAACAATCCAAGCTGAGTGTCGGAGTTATTTACTAAATGATGTCTGTGCATGTTCCTCAGAACGGCACAACTATTTTATTCCTTTATAACACTCTTTGGCTATAGTGAATATTGACTGGGCCGACGAGGACGGGGACTCGAAGCCTATAGTTCTTGGACATTATCAGGGTTTTTATACATGATAGAGTGTTTGTGGGGTATCAGCTGGTGTAAGTATTTACATGACCAACCATAAGTCGTACATATTTGCATTTATACTTCAGAAAGGCACTCTCTGATGGACCTCCCGAGCCTTCTGAAGGCGTACGACGAGTGCGTTCGCCTTGCGGACGGCATGCGCTACCGAAGAGGCTACGTGGTCATGGAGTCGTCACACAATGACGCCAAGTACCTCTTGCGAGAGCCATACTAAGCAAGTTATCAGAAACAAGCCCGTGGGGTCGTCATAGTTGAGTGCAATAAATGGCACGTAGTCTCTGCGCAGTGTCGTTTGTACGTTTCATCATCATCGTCGTCATGGTCATTATCATCGTTTACTTTATCTAACTGTCACTGAGGCTGCTTTAATTCATTTGCACGGAAGCCTGTATTGCGAAAGCTAGTTAGATATGACTTCTGTTACTTTTCTCATTTCAATCACACCAAAAAACTGTGTTCTGCAAAGTTCACCTACCTATTTCCAGGCAGCCATTCTGTTAGTTCAGAATATGTTCGTTTCATTTATCATACACATTCAGCTATCTTCCAAAAGCATCTCCTCTACTTCATTTGTTCCTTTTATCCTCAACCTGAAAATTGGAAAAATTTTACCGTCCAACCAAAATGGTTGCTTTGTTTCATAAAGCTACACTGGAGTACCTTTTTCTCCTTGTGGAGTCCTTAGCTTTAACGAAATATGCGGCACGCTGTGGCGCTATGATCCGCACATCATACGCAGTGATTTCTGCCACACTCTTTATGGTTGAGCAATGATTAACCATATATTTGTATGTAATCGGACTTAATATGTGTTGCAAACACCGATAGAAAACACTGCAACAACAGCGGATGTTACCGAATTATGACATGACAATTGGGCCTTTTTCATGAGCAATTTTAAGCAGTGGCGTAGCTATCTGGATTAATACGTCACTGCCACGCAGAATGACAGTGCTCGATTGCGGTTTTATCTGGGCTTTGCAATCTTTTTGTCCCTCTTATATTTCTCTGCCGACAACGTTGCCGACAGCTGCCTCACAATTTCCGCGGCAAGCTCTATAACGCGATGGCGTAACAGTGCGTTATCGCCGTTCCTAGATTGATACAAACTGTGAATAGCCTGTGTTTTATGCCCGCTTTCCCTGGGCGGTGGTATACGGCTATATTACATGCGTGACTGAAGAAAACGGTGTCATGACTTAGGTGACAAGTATGTCCCTCTATTGACAAGTTCATTGCTTTCATAATACACTATTGCCCTCCTATACAAATTTTGATGTTGTTGCATTACGCACCACTCGGCGCTTATCAGCCAGCACCACAGTCTGGCTCATCTGCTCCGGACGATAATCTGTTATCGCGCATGTGCCATGATGTGCGTTTCCGCCCCTTTCGTTCACGGCGTGCCTTTATATTCGACTACGCAACACGCCATGGGCCATTCTTTTGTACACTTTCTTACGGCAAAAATGCAGCATTAAAACTTACGTTCTTCCTTCTCACAGTGTCTTTCTCTGCCGGCTTGGGGCCCGTCTCGGCCAAACGTAACAATGTATCAAGATATGCGCATGACTATGAGAGTAAGAGCACCAAGACATAACGAGAGTAACAAGGCATAGATAGATAGATAGATAGATAGATAGATAGATAGATAGATAGATAGATAGATAGATAGATAGATAGATAGATAGATAGATAGATAGATAGATAGATAGATAGATAGATAGATAGATAGATAGATAGATAGATAGATAGATAGATAGATAGATAGATAGATAGATAGATAGATAGATAGATAGATAGATAGATAGATAGATAGATAGATAGATAGATAGATAGATAGATAGATAGATAGATAGATAGATAGATAGATAGATAGATAGATAGATAGATGGGGTTAGCTAGTGTCAAGAATTTGCAAGACGACCACAATTGCTTAAAACTGTCAAATGCTTGCATAAACAGCAGCAGTCTCATCACAATTTACATTTGAAGCACAATGCTTATAAAACACATAATTCGCGAGTAGCAGGCCACTTAAAGCCATTTGATGGAACGTGTTCAAGTAGAGCTATTACCTCTGACAGTGGTGAAGTTCAATTGTTAGTACAAATATTATTATTATTATCATTATTATTACTAGTAGTAGTAGTAGTAGTAGTAGTAGTAGTAGTAGTAGTAGTAGTAGTAGTAGTAGTAGTAGTAGTTGTAGTAGTAGTAATAAGAGTGTTGGACAAATAAAGTAGTCTTTATAATGTCACCATGAAATACATATGAAGCTTAAACAGTACGTTGTATAAGCGAAGAAAATACGCAAAGTACCCGAATGCACGGATTCGTCCAACATCTGATCAAACGAGAGAAAGAAAGAGAGTCAGAGGCAAGGAAGAGCAAGGAAGTTGAAAAGGCACATTTTAGGTTTGCTGCCGTGCACTATAGGGAAGGGACATCAGTATGGGAAAAATAAAGTAGTTTCAGAAAATAAAACATTACTAGAAAGAAAAACAAGAAAGGGGCACACTTAGTGATCAGGAAAGAAACTTGAGGAAAATACAAACGATGATATCTGGCACAGGACTGCTTTATTTCATCGCACCATTATACTGCACTGATCCACTAAAACTGAAACCATACTTAAATCAATCGTGTGCTAAGTTTGTTTCCGCGCATTTAGTTTGAGACGCGGCTTTTATGCGAGATAATCTTTCAACAGTCGGGCGAAAAGTTTGCGCACCAGGAGCCCTCATGTGCGCGCCCCCTCCATTTAGGCGCGAACATGAACGCTCCCGGCCGCGCGAGTGCTCCGTGCGCCACATTCTGTGAAAACTCAGAGGGAATGCGGTTCAAGCTGGTGATATGGTCGACAGATGGCAGGAAAAGTATGCGTGCAACTTTCCTCCGAGTTCGCGCGCGAATTCAAGTGAGTTAAGGGTGTGTTCCTCGAGCATGACCGCTAGACAATACTTTTAATTGAGTAGCCCTTTTCATGGCAGAGGTATACTGCACAGAGGAAGTCCGAAGAAAAAAAATGGAGGAAATCATGACGTCATTGAATTAGCGCTCGTAAACTCTCTATTACGTCATAATCATCGCTTCTACTGCCTAAAAAAAAGACGGGATCATACGTGTGGGCTGCAGTTGTCCAAGTGAACCGGGGTCAACATTTCAAAGGCCCCATCCACATTGGATTTATATAGCCCGAAAAAAAAAACCAAGCTTCATGATGGCTGAAAAATGACGCTTATAGGGCCTCTCAACAAACTCTGAAACGCGCAGGAAAAGCTCCCGCATTTTTCCTGAGCGTGACTAACCTCCTTCAACGCGCAGTGACATCAACTCAGCGATCGGCGACGTGACGCCGCACACAGCTTGTCGATTGGTCTAAACCATGTCTCAACAAAGAGCAATGAAGTCAACGTCACCGATGGCCGAGTTGAGATCACTGCGCAAGAAAGAAGGTTGGTCAGGCGTTCGAAAGATGCGCAAGCTTTCCTTGCGAGTTTCAAAATCTGTTGACTGGCCCTTTGAGCGATGATGTGCCGCTCACACACGATGTCCTTCCCGTGGTTTCGGACTTCGCGTTGGCAAAGGTGAGGAGAATACACATCTCTTGACATACATTATCAGGATTCCTCGTCAGTCACAACTACCAAAGAACCTGCATGGCAGTGACGACGCACTTTCAACCATGAAGGGGCACGTCCGACTGAGTACAGGTATGGGCAGACATGGCGCCAGGGGGAAGGGGGAGGGGATAATCTCCCCTCCGCTTCACTTTTGCGTTCACAGCAATGAAATTAGACGAATGTGCTTCTATCTCAGTGCGTCCACCTTACCATAACTTGTCGGTGTGCCCTGCTCACACTTTGTGTATTCTTATTCTTCCTGCGAAATGTTTGTGCAATATTTCTCCCCTACCGTAACATCTACTTATATCGCCTACATACCGAAAAAAACGGCGCCTTCGATGTTGGACAGTCGCACATTGCATAGCCACCGAGTGAGCTATTTGGCAAGAGTCCGCTAAATAGATTATATATTCCAGCACACACTGATTAGATGGAGCTTCTGAACGTCTGGACCAGCAGCAATAGTGACCGTTCTTATCAAGCATTATCCAGAAATGGTGAGATGCTAGAACGGGCAGTCCACTTAGAGGAATCTTACTGGAAGTTCACGCACTGTGATGGTTGAGATAAACTAATACTTGCCGCGATAACCTGTCACAAAACCTTCCTCGTTACCTTTCCAGGCTTGAATCAGATCTCGTCACGCTTCATCTTGATGTTCTTTCTTCCATGGCCTAAGAGCCCTCATACTAATTGTTGGACCCTCCGAACAGAAACTAGGGCGTGTGAGAAAGGCATGAATGAGACTGTGCACAACAAATCAGGGCCTTTATTAGGTATGGTACTTCTTAAAACATGGTTCGCACCAGAATGCAAGACACTTTAGCTTCTCTCTGGTTTATTTCAAGAGTGAATAAAACGAACCGATTGAGGGCAGCATTTATTCCCATGAAATGGTAGCACGTATTCGCTGGTTCGCCATTACACTGCTAGTATGAGTCATCGCCGCCATACGAAGGAGCGTAGTGGCTTCCATGCGATGAGCTGCCATAGCTTCTGTAGCTGGGTGTCTCGTACGAACTGCGCCCCATACTATACATAGAATTGTGCTCGCAATGATGTCCATAGCCGCTGTCGTGCTCGTGGCCACCACCATGGCTTCCACCATAGCCACTACTGTATCCACTGCCGTAGGCACTGCCATAGCCACTGCCATAGCCACTGCCGTGACCACTGCCGTAACCACTGCCGTAACCACTTCCGTAGCCGCTGCTATGGCCACTGCCACCATAGCTACCGTACCCACCGCCATAATCGCTACCGTAGCCCCCACCATACGGTGAACAGAGGGCTGCGGTAGTCAGGGCGAACGCAACGAAGAGTAGTAGAGTCTGCGATACAAGTCATTTGGAATTTCTACACACTCATTGCTTGATGTATTCTCACTTCAATACTGAACAGAAAAGATGCCGGTGCGAACTTTAGAAACCATTATGACACCATTGCAATATTCGCGACCGACATGTTTATGATAGCCTAAGGAATTATATAGGTGTTGTAGTCTGCTGGGTAAAATTAAGCTATTACAAAGTAACCATTCTTTTTCTGTATTTCGCGACAATAGCTGAAAACATACAAATAGCATTAATGTGACCTCATGATCAAATGAAAATCGAATTCAACTCAAGCTACCCATATGAAGAGAAAAACTAATGATGAAAAAAAAGTTATAGATATTCCTGCATCACAGTTACAAGTAATAAGTATGGTGCACATGACGCAGCGTGCTTATTGCACCTTGAAAAACTATTTGTCCTCCTTACTGTCAGCATAGCCCCAATATAATATTATCGCGTAGTACCTGCACATCGAGAAAGCTGGTAAAGATTTCTTCAATTAAGGGCGCACTTCAAGCGTGCTTTTCACTTTTGGAAATTTTGATAGTTATGATTTTAGATATGAACTCAAGCCAGTTTTTCGATCAGCCCAAGCGTGCCATAGCTCAGAGTATGATTTAAAACTCACCGTCTCTATCATCTTGAACATAAAAATAGTTGGCGGCCCAATCTTCTCGCTGTCCCGTATGCTTTGACGAGAAGTCGATATTAGTAGATAGGGCTTATATAGATATTGCGAATACTTGGTTGGAAGCTAGAACCAATTGCACAACAACTATCAATTTCCGCGGTGTTTACGTCGTCTCTGTTCACCGCGTTCCGTCACGAACATTGGACGTTGCATCTCTGGCATGGTTGAAGGGCCGTGTAGCAGTGTTCGTTGATGCAGAAAGGATGTTCAGCACTCCTGTCAGCTAGTATTTACTGTTTGCAACTGGTGTGCAGTGGCGGCTTTTGTTAAAAGGGGGAAGGGAATAACACAACATTCCCGCGGCAACGCCGCTCGACTTGCATCTTAAGTCTGTAGTCGTATAACTGGCTCTAATGTACGCTGCCTTCTCATATGCACGGAGCATTAGTAAATGGTAACAAATCGTCTAGAGTTTGCAGATTGAGAGCGTACATGTATGTGCCCATTACCGCTCTTTGTGTGTAGGGTCACTTGAAAGTGCTTTATCAACCCTTTTTTTTTTGCCTATATGGATATACGCAGCATTTCTAACTGGAACTTAGTAGTGGAGATAAAAGAAATTATTTCTGGTACCACCTGAAGACAAGTGATTTTTTAAACAATGATTTTGTTGTTTTCTGGGGCAAGCTAAACACCCGTATTACTAAAAAGGTTATGACAATACGGGGCATGCCTTATGTTAAGCATCGAACATAACTAAATTGTGATGACATAGCAAATGTGATCAAGGGAAGAAGGAGAGTCTTGTGATGATTAGTGTCTACAGTGAGTTATTTTTGTTTCTTTCTTTTAAGTGCCCTCCGAGCTTTGGGCAATATGCTTTTTGTATTGTGTCTCCGTAAGGATACAGAGGAATCGATGCACACTATAGCGTACTCAATAAAACAAAACAGCAAAAAATAAGCCATCATGCCGGCCGGTTTAATTTTAGACTGCCACCATATACGAAGGTGTAGTTGTGACTGAATCGCTGGCTCAGCGTAACACGTGAGCGAAGGTTAGCGTTGATACTATTGAGTTAACGTAGATATTACGTTCTGTGTACGCTTCCTAACTGCACTTCTTTGATTGATTGATTTGTGGGGTTTAACGTCCCAAAACCACCATATGATTATGAGAGACGCCGTAGTGGAGGGCTCCGGAAATTTAGACCACCTGGGGTTCTTTAACGTGCACCCAAATCTGAGTACTCGGGCCTACAACATTTCCGCCTCCTAACTGCACTTCTCCTTTGGTTCGCACTTCTATCCATCCTTAACATCCCGCTGCAGTTATGCTGAGCGAAATATCACTACATAGCTCTAAACACACGTGATGTGACTGCTTGCAAGCTCAATTTTATTTGTCATGCGCGCTTGACTCTCCATTGCACATGTCAAGCGGAGGCGCGCGGACGATGCGCTGCGTGTCTGCTTAGTATGCGTATGGCGCGTAGTGCTGTGCTCCATGGTGGCCATGTCCTCCATGATGGCCGTGTTTCTTGAGAAAGCCACCGTGTTGTGCGCCATGGCCGTAATGATCATAGCAAGGCGCCTGCTGGTAAACGGGACGGCGAACCAGCACCACATGGCTAGCCTTCTTGCCATGATGACCATGGCCGAGCGCCAAGCCAAGAATAAGAGTGATCACAATCATAGCCACCTGCGAAAATGAAAGCGTGAGTCCAATTTCGACTGCTACATATAAGCACTCACAGACAAGAAAGCGGCAGAGAAAGCCAACGGGAAGACCTCTGCAGCTACAAGGTCTTGATTTAGGCGAGTACGAACAATAATTACAATATTCTCCAGATGCCCTTTTCGACATTAGCAAAGCCTTTCGTATGCCAGCAGATACGATTCCTTGTAATAATCTCAGCTGGTAGCATTCTTCCTTTCATTGGTATGTTTCCATTCTCTCGTGCCTCACTTCCAATAATTGATTAGATCATTTGTCTGTTTGTTTACAACAAAATCATCAACTTCTAGCTATAAAACTGTAGTTCTATTTTCCTATTGCCGTTTCAACATGAAACCCATATTATTATTTTTTTATCAGTGACGTGTTGCTTCCCGTATGAAAGGCTGTGTAGTCACCTGACCTTCTAAGTTTGCTTCTCGGGTCATTTAACTTAGGTCGCTTATGTCAGGACACAAAAATATAGGTATTACACTTTTGTGATATTCTCAGCTGGCACTCATAATTTAGAAATGCCGGTCGTTCGCACTTTCAGTGTATTTTTCTTTTGGGAACATTGCTTCCTAAGTATATAGATTCCTTTTGGGTTTTTGCTTGCATAAATGTACTCCTATACTACACTGCGAGATGCGGGCTACCCGTTGGTTTACAGAACGAAAAGTACACATTGACGAGCTTATGCCTGCGTGATGTATAGATATAAAACACACAACATAGAAAGTAAGCACGCAAATGAATCTATGTAGCCCATTGTGTATTTATTATATTCGCTATCTGCCACATAACGCATAAATGTGTAGTATTTCACATGTAGCATGTTCTCTTTCCTTAAACAACTGTTGTTCAGATGCAGCTCCCAGCACTGAACGTTACATAGCAATTAAAGGCAACAAATACAGAATAAATGATATGTCACTGAGAGGAGACGGTTTCGCATCTCTGTTATATCCAGTAGCACCTAAAATATGTGAAAAGAATCCTACACTTGTATGCACTCTTCTGAGTCGTCGGCAGAAATATCCGTAAAATTCTGATCGCTAGAACGTCATTTTCTCTTAAGCTAAATAGGAAAGCTTTGGTTTGGAGCTCAGCGGTACGTTCAATATAAGTACAGTTGAAATGAATGCAAACAAAAGCCCCAAACCTATTCATTAAGCTCTATCCTCGAAACTTGGAGGTTATATTTTCTATTTAGTACACCGAGAATATGACGGATAACTATACATCTGTCCCCACGGTTCGCAAAAGTGTCGCTTGGGTGAAACAAATTCAGCTTGATCTGTATGAACTTAAATCTCGCAAAAGACCCCGCATAACATTTTGTTTCAAAAACGTCTATCCCCACATTTACAAATGTACCTCACAAAGACGTCTCACTTACCGCACGCTTCATTCTGAGCACGAAAAGTCAGCAGCTTGCAAGACTTGTTCCACAGAGGACTTGTTAACACAGCCGCAGCAGACCGCATATAAGTACGATGTTGCTGCTGCAAAAATGCAAGAGCGTAAACGTTGTGTTCGTATTCGTGCTTTACGTGTGCAATGCAACGCAAATTCCAAGTTGATGCTAGGTATCTCGCGGTAAATCACCATGACCGTTGGTCATACCATACGAAACTTGCTAGCTTCTCTCAACTGAGCTGTCAAGTAGATGCTCATATGTCTTTGTCTCGCTACACACCTCGAACAGTTTTTTTTTTTTTTACATGGCAGCTGACTGCCGCTTTGTGTACGTGGAAAAATGTGCGAATATATAAAAACATGCCATGGAAAGTTATTTATTTTCAAGTAACATTTCTCCTCTAGATCGACAAGTTTACTTTTGTATTTCAGTTATATAAGAAAATATGTTTAGCAGATCGGCCAATACTTCAGTGTTTACGTAAATAATTGCTGCACTTTTTCGTCTATTAAAAACGAATTGAGATTCAGTAATCAAGGACAATCATTGTTTACTGAGATTCTGGATGCTGCCGAAGAAAATATTGGCAGTTGTTTCTAAACTTTCCGCTCCAGTTGATGAGCTTCAAGTTTTATGTTGGCGCTGTTTGAGCATTTATGCCTCATTGTTTTCACGTCTGCCGTAAATGTTCGCTATATGTAAAAAACTGGAAGGGATATTACGTTGCATCATCGGAATATATCAGAACAACTGTCTCCCTGTCGTGCCATTCAAGCACCATCACTCTTTTACATGAACATATTAACAAATGTACACGCCAGCATGCTTGCAGTCAGTTGGCCGGGTATTATAATTATCATGAAAGGGGGCACAGACATTTATGAACATTTATTCGCGTATTTTAAATTTTGATACGAAGTTTGGGTTGGCCTGATCTTCTGGCAGTGAATGGCTGAAAACTTTGCTGCCTGAAACAGTCTGTCGCACGTCATTTATTGCTGTTTGGAAACAATACATCTTCGATATTGCTTAAGTACGTTTTCGCATTTCTGTACAATATAGATCAGTGTACTAGGGAACATCTTCACCAAGAAAACCCCGTAACACCTTGAATTGGCACACATCTGTTTACAAAAACACCTTTTCATTGCTTTCGGTGATTACGTGAAGTGAATTTCAGATGGTTCAGTGGCATGACGGTATTTACACCGAAAAGAACTACGAATAACTTGACAGAAGTTAAAGGAGGTGCAGGTTGCTCAATAAGACGACTGTAAAATCATTTAGCTAACAACGGATAGTCCATGACAATTCGCTGTGATGTGCGGTGTGCACACCATGTTAATGAATGTTAAAAATCAAAGTGAGGAAAGAACTTGGGGATGTACGAAGCGTGCAGTGCGCACCGGTGTTTCCCGCAGCAAAATCGCTGCTAATGGGCAATCTTAGAACGAATAAAAAGGATCTGGCCGAGGTAATTTGCCACATTGTTCTGTAGAAAATTGTGTTTGAGCTTCGCTGAAGTTGGAAAATCGCGTTGAAATGCTGCTTACCCTAAGCTGCTTCTTTTTGCCTATAATCCCGATTTCAGTTGTCTATGACATGTAGGCAAGGGGGTGTTTCGAATCTAGTAACGGTGTCGGCTATTTCTTGGGCTAGCGGTTGCCTTCTTCATCTTTAGTGGACCAGTAACAAGTAAAGCACCATCACTTTGCAGATATATTTTAAGAAGTTGTTTCTCCAATTGGGGACTTTAGTGTACATATTCACGCTTTTGTCTCAAATTTCGGAGAGGTTGAGTGCATTGGTAAATTTGTGCATGTTTTTGACACCACTGCTAAGACAAAAATGATGTTTTAGCCTGTAATGACCAACTCATAACATGCATAGTATGAACCAATGGCTAGCAATACGATTTACTCAATTTATTGATATTACCTATTTATGACAAGCCGTGAGTGCAAAAAGACGCGCTGGCATGACAATGACATGACAGGACGACATGCCGAGACCCCAATGTGCTTGAGCTCTGATAATCTACTGAAAGTCTACATGATACTTATGCATATACACGTTAGCGCAGACGGACGAATGCAATAGACATTTATTTCGAAACTATGGTCCACATGTTGTTTGTTTGTTGTTGTTCTTTATCTGCACACCCAAGCAGCACACGTTGTTGGACTGTCAACGAAGACTGATCGACGCCCGCATGCGGTCGTAAACTTTAAAATTCAGCGCAAGCGTCTCCGAACAAAGTTATGCGTGTGCTACGTGTTCTAGATGCACCGCTCAGACACTACATAAACCAGCAGCACCGGTGTTGTTTGGTCGCCGTGCCGTTTGGGCTGAAAGTGTTTTTAGGCGAGCTTGGGAAGAACAATAAGATGACCATGAAGATCACTGTAAGTGGCAGTATTTTACCCTTCTGTCATTACTTAATTACTCACGAGGCTATTTAAACGCAGAGGGCTTTTCTGTTGCTGCTAACTCTTTTACCGATTATTTCAGGCCATATTGACCAATGTTTTACGCACAATGTTTATCATTTAGTCGACGAAAACAGGAGGAATTTGTTGTTTAAGACTGAGCGTGTAGCACAGAAGGAGTAGATTTTCACTGAAGATGAGTAATTTTTGAATGAGGTGTTGTGTGGAGGTGCAGTATTCAAGTGCAACTTGAAAATTTTATGAACGTAACAGCTCTAACTCCCCTCATATTGAGTAAATAGTCAGATTTCATGATTCTTCTGCATTTTTAATAATTCATACAAGTGTGCGCTCAAGAGAAACCGTAATGACTTTTACATCGCAGTCTATATGATATGAAAAAAAAAAGGAGGCGGAGAAAGCCTCTCTTATGCGCTTATGTTGTTGGTCTCATTTAGGTCTTAGAGTTGCAAGCAGTATGAAACTACATGATTTATGGAAACAGCGTTCTGCAATGCAGAGCTCGTGAAGTTTGGACTGACACGATATAGTCTTCTTCTCACATTTTTTTGTTAGCTCTTATCGAAGCTCGTGTTTATTTTCATCACACCTTTGAACAGGTGATCCTGCTGTTGTTAGCCGTTGCAGTTGCCCTGGCCACGGATGATAAGACTGACAAAGGTCTCGGCGAAAACGCTGATGCTTACGGTACCGTGCTCGGCGGCAAAAAGGAACACGGGCTGAAAAAAGATCACAGCCATGGGAGCTACGACAACGTATGCCTTGAGTGCCTTCACAGATACGGTCTTGGCGGCTACAACCGTGACAGACCCTATGGCCACCCAAGCTATGTGCCGAGGCACCACGGACCATACGTTCGCTACTGAAATAGTGTGAGATTTGTCTGACATGCACATCGTAGAACAGCTCCACTTGACCTGTTTAAAGGTATGTAATCCGTTTGCTAGTTTTTGCAAAGAACGAATATTGTACAATCAATGACAGTCAAATATTAATGTTTATGCGTGATGCTTTTTTGAATACTTATTTGGCTGACTATTGCGATAGTGAATGTATCAACACTCTCGACGGGGTTTTGCCGCCACCCTCAAGCTCTCTATAAATACCAGTCTGGTGATACCCCCCCCCCCCCCCACACACACACACACACATCTCGTATGCTCTACTCGCGCGTAAATGAGCACGAGCGGGGGCGAAGAAGACAGCTGAAGCAGGGATGAAATCATCTTCCAATCATCTTCCAATCAACTTCAATTGTCCCTGTCTGGCACATTCTATTTTATGCACCCACGAACTTCATAATTTTTACAGCGCTTACAAAAATGGACTACGAAATGTGCTATTGACTATTTCTATATTTAACTACAGCACCACAAAAACAGACGTGAGGCAGATAATTGAACGTAGCCCAGCGCCTACTATACTGCGTTACTCAACTGAATTATAATAAATTAACCACACAAAAAAATAATTTACCTTTTTTGTTTTTTTTTTAGTTTTCCAGTTTTTTAAGATGATTGGTTTTAAAATTTATTCGCCATACTAGCTGCGCAGCTTATTTTAAAAAATTTATTTACTATAAACGGCAACGTACACAGGATTAAGACACAGCGCTGAACTTCAACCGCATTCACTGCAAACATTTTACTTTCTCAAATGTTTGTTATTAAGTTGTGTGCTTTTGAGGCTGTGTTTGGTCACATTGGTGCACATTATGATATTATGGTTCATCCCATCCACTCCACTTGATAATCTTCGCCATCCCGGTCCCACGTGTAAGGTAGCAAATCATTTTTCCTCGACTATAGTTCACCTCTCTACCTTTTCTTCTGTACCATTCTCTCTCTGCGCCGTGCCGAGATGCTACTCATCATGGAGATGCTACTGCTGAAGTCTTTGGAACACAGCCGAAGGGGTGGTTGGTACTATTATCTATATATACCGAGGGAAGGTTCATTGCTTTCCCGCCATTTTGTGAACCTCGTGGGGAATGAAACCGATACCCGCTTCAGCTCAGCTAGAGTGGTGGGCGTTCTTCACTGTGCGCGCATAACAGGGTGCGTTGCTACGTCAAACGGCGTTGAATACAAACTCAACTGCTTTGGTGGCCGCGTCTCTTCTTCTTCACTGATACTTTCAGATAAGAGACGCTGTCTTCCCCTGTGAGGCATGCGAATGGTTCCCGTATCTTTAGGAACTTCATTTACTGTGCGTTTTCGTAACGACGGCGCAAACCCACCCAGCACACCACTTTATGCACAACAGCAACATTCCATAGTAAAAGCGCGAGAACAGAACGACGACAAAGAGACAAGAAGGACACGAGCGGTAGTGTCTAGCACTCGTGTACTTGTTTCTTTGTCGTCGTTCTGTTCTCGCGCTATTACTATCGTCATGTCATACCAACTAGCCCAAACTGTCACACTTCTAAGCAACATTCGGTTGCATGAAAGGCGAAATTCTAAAACCAGAGGTCAAATGTCTTAGTCGAATATGAGTTGACCCCAATGAACAGTTTGGTAATGTCTGATCAGCAACAACACATATCTACGAATAGACGTACCCCGTATGTGGCACGGGGTACGCATCTCTGCATCTGCATCTGCTGCATAATACGGTGTTTGTTCACTCAATACAGGTAAGTATTTATTTTCAATGGGCTTTTCTGTAGGCAGCTTAATTATCGTTTCTTTTAGCCTTATTTTTACGTGCATATAATAGATACTCATGTTGTTAGTAAAAAGTACTTGTTTTTGATCTTTATCATTCGGGATCATCACGAAGGCAGTAGATATTTTCACTTCAGGAAAGAGTTTGTGTTCCTGTGTTGACTATTTGCACTTTGTTTCATTATATAAATTATATTTGCTAATTTTGTTCCAGGCAACTTTCAAGACATTCCTGACTACCGTAGGCAAGCCTTCAATAATGTGCCTCATTGGCGGTGGCGATACGGGTGATAGTCGCCATAGGAGGCGACATCAACACGGAGTCTTCATGAGAAACCACGTGTGTCACTAAAAAACGCATTTGCTGAATGTATTTCTAAATGAATTTGTAAAAGTACAATTGTATCCACCTGATCTTTCATTGGTCGATGCACCTGATTGACGATCAGAACATTTCTAGGAGCACATGAGATAATAATTTAGGGTGCTTATAACGTCCGAAAACAATGCGATGATTATGAGAGACGCTGTAATGGAGGGTTTTTGATATTGTACTTATATAAAGCTATTGGTTTCTAAAATATATTTTAATTATTTTACTTCAATGGATGCCCATAATTCTTATTGTTTGCTTCAAGCGCTGTGTGATAAAAAAGGCAAGGTATATTGTATATTAGTCTATCTAAAGAGCTGGCCTTTACTTCACTCAAATGATATATATCTTCAAGAATAATATGCAGAGTATCTAGCGGTTAATAAACGTAAAAGCATTGGCCGTTTTTTTTTTTTTGCCGCTGTGGACAAGGACTTGGTTCTTGTGTGGCCTGAGGCTTGTCGTTACAGGTAAGCTGGGCATTACGATCGTGGCTTGTAAGCTGTTTGCTGACCTGTATTGTGAATGGTCGGCAAACAACCCGGACACTTGCAAAAAGTCGAAATCTTAGCGCTATGGTGAAGGCGAGTACAAGCAAGAGACACTGGACACGTGAGCACTCGTCATCGACTTCATCTTCACACATGCCCTCGTCTTCACCACCTCTAAGATACTGCCTTTTCAAGATGGGCCAACAAGTTCACATCGCTACACTTTCAAAAAACGACAACGGTCCGTGCTAACCTGCCTGCGCTAGACCAGACATTTTCTGAAAGGCCAGTGACATCGAGCCTACCTTCTTCTGAACCTGTTTTGTCGACTGTAGCTGGCTCGCTTTCCGTCATAACCTTGGCTGTAGTCACCAGCGTAGTCTCCGCTGTCTGGTAGTATATAGACTTCTGTGTCTTCACCGGAGGTTGTACCATAGTTTCCACCATATTGTCCACCGTAACCTTTTCCGTTACCCCTGAGGTAACTTCCCCCTCTTCGATATCCAAAATGGCCACTCCCATAGCCTCCATTTAGTCCATATAATCTCATAGCCATGGCAACGGCGATCATAGTGGCGAATATTATGAACGAAAGCTGCGCAGAAGTAATAAAATTATGAGCAAGAAAAGGTTAGTAGATGTAACAAAAACTAAATGTTAACAAAGTTTCTGTTTCGTAATTTTTACGAGAAACAAATACTCAGTGTCACTGCACTGCTACATGAACACCCATGTACCAATTGAGATTTAAATACACGTTAAGAACACCCGGTTGGTCAAAATTAATCTAAATGCTTTGAAGATATTCTGTTTAATATTCATATTAAAATTCGGCCTCTTGATGTCGGAGAATTTAATTTTTTTTTTTCATACTACGCATGAACTTGCGGCCAATATGTAATTATATTATCAATGTCAGTACCAGGACATTCTCTATTTAACCATACAGATGGAGATAATTTTATCGGCATCTAACCAGTGTTTACAAGAAATACATTGTTTTGTTCGTTTTTCTGACAATTCAGTCAGCTCGAAAGCTCAATCTAAACGACAAAAGTAGGTCTGGGTTTCTCAACCTCTCAGGTAAATATAGTTGGTGGCATACTGATGTAATATGCTCAAGTAATCTGCGATTTCCCGGGTGCTGAATGACGGAAGATTCAATCCAAGAACCAGTTACGCTTCCAAAATTGATATGTTTGCTGCTTTACAGTACAGTGGAAGCAGGCTGAGTAGACTTGAACATAAAAATAATCAACAATGCGCAGTTTCACAGCGTCTAATGTTAAAATAGATTCACGTGACGGCAAAAATCGTACACTGCAGGCAGTCCGCCTTAGTCTTCCTAATCTGTTCGTAAATCCACATCAGTCTGCCAGTACCTCATAAACAGATGCAGGAGTATACAGTCTGCTCCTCTCTAATGCAAAATGTTTTTATTTCGAATGAATTGTTCAGATGTGATCATATATAGCTATGCATTCTCAGGCTATAAATGCTATGAGAACTGATTGATTCACTCTACACAAGCAAAAACATCATCCAATATAATAGGTGCTTATTTTTTTATTAGCCTGTAAAGTGGAACGAACTCTTCCTCCGTTCAGTCTTCTTCTCAAAAAACTTCGCGAATATTTTCGAATGAGAGGCACAGTAAAAACTATATAATAATTCTTGAGTTTTAACGTCCCAAAACCAAGATACGATCATGAGAGAGACCGTATTGAAGGGATGCAGGAGTTTTGACCTTCTTGCGTTCTTTAACGTGTACCTGAATCTAAGAGCGCGAGCCCCATTTTCATCTTCATCTAAAATGCGGCCGCCTCAGCCGGGAATAGATCCTGCAACCTTTGGGGCAGCAGTCGAGTACATTAACCACAAGACAACCCTTGGCGGCTGGACGAAAGCCACATACGGGACCTTACACCCCGTCCCACGACAATATTGTAGGGTCCGTTCTCACTGGCCGCAAAATTTTTTAGGGACCTAGAGCTATTGAAATCGTCCAGGCATGTGATGGTAGAAACACAGGTTCTCTTTGCTGTCTTGACAGAATAGCTTGCCCACTTATTTATAAGAAAGATTAGAACATATTATATATACTCAATCATCATATCGTATATCATATTAGCGTATATTCATAAACGCGTACCTGCTTATAAAACATTGTACCACCATCACCATATGACGGTCGCATAAACCAAAGCAATGTAGAGTTTTATCTTAGACAAGAACCCGAGAAGCGATCATAGGAAAACATCTTACTGTGTTTCTCATGACGGCAGCGTTGACAGTTGCAGGCGTGCTTTATCGGAGGAGTGCACGGGACGCCTAGGCGTTCTTATATATGCCGCATTGTAGAATGACTGAACGCATTATTGGCATTATGCACGCAAAACAATGAGCAAATAATTCTTGATCTCTGTAAACAGTTGGTAAGAGAGTCCTAATCGATAGCCAGACTACGCCGCCTAGTTTAATGAATCTTGCGCCTATATTGCACTCTCTTTGTAATCAACTTACGCATCATGTTTCTGGTTTGTCAGCGAACGATAATGGATGCATGAAGAAGGCAAAGTGCTTGGGTTGTGTCTCTAGTACCTCGTCTGACGCTTCGTTTTTTTTTCTTTTGTCGGCGAGCATGTCACGTCATTGGTGAGATGAGATTAACGTGAAGGCGAAGAAACAATTAAAATTGCTTCGCGAGGAAAAATGATGAAACGAAAACAGGAAGCATGTATTGTATACCCCGACGTGCTCGAAGACGCGCCTGACTGTAGCACGTCCTGACAGTATACTAAACAGGTATACTCAATGCCGTGCTATCATCAGAGACGATGCTGATGAAGCACCTCAGTTTGCACTGACGATGCGTCTTTATAGTATGTTGTAGATTCAATTGCCTACTTCACGACAACATGTGTTTGCATGCGTGCGTTCGTATATATATATATATATATATATATATATATATATATATATATATATACGAACGCACGTATATATATATATATATATATATATATATATATATATATATATATATGAGATCTAACAGACAATAATGGAAAGTATAGGGGAAGATATTAGACCAAATGGTAATGTAAATATGAAGAAAAGTGGGTGAAAAGATAACTTGCCGTGGGCAGGATCCGAACCTGCAACCTTCGAATGACGCGTTCGATGCTCTACCGCTGAGCTACCACGACAGCTATCCCCCCAGCCAATTTATTGGGTATCTATGTCAATTTAAACGTGGGAAAGTCAGTCAGCGCCATTAGTAGCCATGGCGGCGAGTGTGGCACACTCTTTATGAGCCTGTTTGGCGTCACGTAGCACGTGAACTTATTACTATCTGGCAGCTGACCAATAGTCCCTCGTATACAACCTAAGGCACCGAGTCTGCCAGTACGAGACCCTCGTTAATGAATAAGGGAAACAAGTTTATACTTAAGGGCTCGTTTTTCGTGTTTACACAATATAATGAGATTTAACAGACAATAATGCCAAGGATGGTATAGGGAAAGTTATTAGGCCAATTGTAATGTAATTGAGAAGAATATATATATATATATATATATATATATATATATATAGTCAACTACATCCTTGGTGAGCGGTCACGACGTGGTTTATTTCGACGTTTCGGCCTAGAGTATGGCCTTCATCAGGATTGAGGGTACAGTTTGTTGGTGCTCAGCTTTATACAATCTTGAATCGTAGGGCGAGAGAGAGAAAGAGGAAAAAAAGCGAAAAAAAGAGAAAAGAAGAAAACAAAGAACAAGAAGAAAAAGAAAAAAGAAAAGGAGAATATAAGGTGGACTCCCGTGGGCGCCCCCTTTCACTTTCCTTCCCCTTTATCCTTCATCTGTCTCCCCTTTCTCCTTTTCACCTTTAGGATGTTTGCGGTCTTTGTATCCTTCCTTTTACTAACGCATTTTTCTCGACCAGACGGCGCCTGCTGGCTCTGGCAGTTCGGTGTGCGGGAAAAAGAGCTCTTTTAAGAAGTTTAAGCCTTCAAATACTCAGCGCCCCGTCGACATCTCGTCATAGAAATAGGGGCGCCGCGTATTGCCGCAGAGGCTGGCAAGCGGGTGCAATGGCAATTCTTGTCGCTTCTGCATTACGCGTGCAGTAAGGGCCTCCCGACTGTGCAAAGGGGTACTGTTGGGCATGCCATGTTTGGCACAGTTGATTGTATCGTGACGTAAAAACAGAAACAGATTACAGCTGTACTTAGGAAGAGTAGTTACATTTGGAATTATTTTGAGTTGTCCAGTGCCCTTCGCAGCTGCACTGCCGTGCGCTCAGTTATTTTTTCATTATTGCCGTTATTGTTTTCTAATTCTTTAATTGCTGCAAGTGTACCTGGATTCTCATTTATTCCTCTATCGAGGGTGTTAAATCAGAGGATAAGGTATGACTCTCGTTGTCCACGTTCTCAATTTGATTTAAATCCCGTCTCTAAGAGCGTTACGAATAGTTTGTCGTATGCATGGTCGAGAAGATTGAGATGTTTTGATAGGGGTAGATTTGGAGCTGATTTCGCATGGGCTCAGAGATTATTGAAGCGAATCCTGAATGATGTTTCTGCTTGTCCGATGTACTGCATACTGCACACGTTGCATTCGAGTAGATATACCACATTAGAGGAATCGCATGTTAGGTTTCCTCGTATGTTATTCGAAAACTTGGATTGTGTGCTGGTTGCTCTTAGTGTTTCTGGCACCGCTTTACTTACAAGACATCGTGACTTTAAACAAAGTCGGCATGAATTATTAGGGGGTTAGGTATTGATTTGAGAGTGGACAAGTGTGTCTTTGAGGTTGCGTGGTCGTTGGTAAACGACGCCAGGAGCGTATAGGAATGCGCGTTTCAGACGTTCACTTTGTTCCAGAATGTTGTAATGTCGTTTAAGGATTTTGTTTACATTGGGGAAATTTGTGCTGTAAGTTAAGCAGAGGTTTGTTCGTTGTGGGTCTTCTTGTGGTGGTCGCTTCATAAGTAAGTTATCACGCTTCAGTTATCACGCTTTTTGAACGGCGTCATCAATTACATGTGAGGGGTATTTTTGTTTATCGAACATAAGTTTTAGCCTCTGTGAGCCCGTGTTAAAATCAGTGTCTCTTGAGCACATTCGCTTAAACCGGTGAGCCTGGCTGTACGGAATACTGTTTTAACAGTGGCGCGGGTGATCGCTTTGGTAATGGAGGTATTGTTGTCAATCCGTTGGTTTGCGATATATGGTTGTAGAAAGCTTGTCTTCTTCTATCGTTATGGTAACATCAAGAAAATTTACGGTTGTTTGCGAGTAGGTGTGTGTGAAGTGTAAGTTCGGATGTACAGCCTTGTAAGTGTCGATAAAGCTGACAAGTTCATCCTCGCTGTGGGTCCAAATAAGAAAGATGTCGTCTATGTATCTTCTGTATAACAGTGGTTTCAAGTAACTTTGTGCAAGAAACTCCGATTCTAGCTTTTCCATAAATATGTTTGCATAATTGGGTGCCATTTTGTTGCCCATAGCAGTACCGCTGATTTGTCGAAAATACCCTTGGTTAAATTCGAATGAATTTAATTTGAAGACAATCCTCGTCAAAGTTACGATGGCAGAGAAATGTGGGGTGTTAGATTATCTATGGTATGTGTACATGTTTTGTAATGCAACTATGCCGTCATCGTGAAGAATATTTGTATATAATGAAGAGACATCAAGAGTAACCAAGTACGAGTTTTTCGGCACGCACAGAACTGCAATGTCTCGAAGAAAATGTGTGGTGTCTTTTATGTACGACGCAAGGGAGCATGGAATGTGGCTTATTATTTTGGCCACGTACCCTGATATGCGTTCAGTTATTGCACCGATGCCTGATATGATTGGTCGACCTGGGTTACCAGGTTTATGAATTTTCGGCAGGATGTAGAAGCGACCTGGACGAGGGTATGCTGCTCGCATCAGTTTGTGGTCAGTGTTGGTTATCTTTTCTGCATCCAACAGTTTCTTTAGTTCTGTTGATAAGATACGTTTGTATTCGTCTGTCGGATCACCTGGGAGGCGTTCATAAAATTTTGAGTCGTCTAGTTGGCAGTATGCTTCTTTTAAGTAGTTGGTTGTATTAAGGACTACAATTGCTCCTCCTTTGTCAGCGGGTTTTATTTTTATGTCTGTCCTAGATGCCATATATATCTTTGCAATACTGGCTCCTGCCAGTATGGCCGAACCAAGAAATCGACGACAAACGGTTCAACCACTATATTCGGAGCCACAGCTACGAATATAACCGGTCGCGCGACCGTTTGCGAAAGCGGTCAAAAAGCGACTGAAAGCGACCCATGTTCACACCTGCGTGCTAATAACGAAGTACTCAATGCTCTGCCAACTTCAGCGTCAATGTTCATTATGCACCTCAGTATGCACTGCCAATGCGCTTAAGAAGGCTGATCGAATTGCCTACCTCATGTCATCATGCATGACATGATGTACGTGTGCGTGCGTGCGTGTGTGTGTGTGTGTGTGTGCGTGCGTGCGTGCGCGCGCGCGCGCGCGCGTGTGTGTGTGTGTGTGTGTGTGTGTGTGTGTGTGTGTGTGTGTGTGTGTGTGTGTGTGTGTGTGTGTGTGTGTGTGTGTGTGTGTGTGTGTGTGTGTGTGTGTGTGTGTGTGTGTTCATCAGGGCTTCCAAGAGAGTGCGGACAAGACGAACCATGCATCATGCATCGACCTGGAATGCATTACGATCACACCACAGAGATACAAGCAGCCTGAGCCAGGCTCACAGGTGAATTTCGTCACTTGTATCATCTCGTACACTGGCGCTGTAACCATCATGCATTCTTGCAATTGCTTTGCACACAATATGTATGATATGGTTTGCGGAGTTGCATGTTGTGGCTATTAGTCATACTTTTCTCTACAGAACACGCTTCTAAGCCGATGCTAAATAGTTACACCACTCATCTGCTTCGTTAACCGATGCAGGTAATGAGATAAGTGGCTGGAAACCTATGCTCGTAGAAATTATGCAGCGATGCTATGTAATGTAAAACATTGTGTCTGCTCACGCGTTTTTTCTCAGTAATGTCGTCATGGTTAAACACATCCCGATACGCCTTATTTTTGAAGCAAGGAATAAAAAATGATAACAAGGGTAAAATATCCTAAACAAAGTTATATTACCTTATTATTTTAAGCAAAAACATAGTGATTCTCTCGACATATCGATTATAAAAACTTTTTATACCTAAATGATAAATTATTGCGGCGTATTCAAAGAACCAGGTCCGTATACCAAAAACATACTTTTAACCTTCATACTGGTCCCACCTCTGCAAGCAACTATAAAATTTGTGTATATCAAATCTCCATTCTCAAGCCTGTGACAAACAAAAAACG